TCCTGATGTTAAAAATTGTCCCCTTCAAAGCACATTCAAGTGTCCCCCAGCATTTTGAAAACTGAGTGACTGACCTTTTATCCCGAAAGTTGACAAAGGGCTGTGAAACCTGGAGGGAGACTTTTAGACTTAAGGTTTGTCTCAATTGCTAAGAAAGCTGTGGTTACACCCAGTTTTAGCTGAAACTAAGAAAACTCTTCTCCATTTCAAAAAAGGTTTTTCCAAAAAATATTGTTTTCCTTAACTCTCTTTTTCCCATACCTGAGTTCTGGCCTGTTATTGATAGAGTTTCCCCACTGACAAAGAGAAAAGCAGAACCAAGTCCAGCAGGAGGCTGAACACAGTCAGGAATCAACAGCCTAAGAACTGCAATACTGTAAGGCCAGACTCAAATCCTTACCCTCTCACTTCACCTACCTGTGCTCTGTTACTGTGAACTCAGCAATTCTATGCAAGTCTTCTACCTTATTAGCTGACCTCACCCCCAGAACTGGCATCATCCAGCCACCACCTCAGATTGCAGCACCAACTGTTCAGAGGGAGAAAGGGGTTTTCCTCCCTCTGTGAACTGCAAATGGAACACACATAATTCAGCATCTGCAAAAGAGAGATTTTGTGAACTCTAAATGGTCCAGTGCATAGCTTTAACAAATTTAATCCCTAGTTACTTTAGAAATATTCAGAAGGCCAAAAAGAGACCAGGAGAGTCAAATTCTGTTAGTTTTCCAGTGAAGTCTGAGGCCTAAGAGATGATGAGATCATAGAATCACACACTATCCCAAGCTGGAAAGGACCCACAAGAATCATTTAATCCATCTTGTTTTAAAATGGAAGGCAGCAGCTCAGCACACCAGAATTTCTGCATCATGAGAATTTAAAATGGAATAACTTCCCAGTTGTTTGTAGTCCTGCAGTTTACAGAACCATTCAGCTGAGGGCTGTGCTCTTTCCTCTAAAACTCCCACCATAGGAAAGAAAGAGGTTCATGGACTTGAAAGGCTGTGAGCCTAAAATGCTGGAAACAATTGCCAACTGACTCTCCCTCCCTTCCACACAGGCTGGATGTTGAGAAGATGACAGTCAGCACAGCATGTGGCTGCTGTAGGCCACTGGAACTTCTTAAGAAGCAATTCCAACTACCATGCCAAGACCCAGACAACCCTGGAAAGAAGCTCATCACAGAAATAATTGTATTTAGTGGCTGTGTGTGTAACTTTGACAGTTGCACACAATAGCCAGACCTGATGGCTGCAGATAACGTTTTTTGTAATTAAACCTTGATCACAAGTTAATCCTTCCACAGCTCATTGCTGGGTTCTCTTGTACTGATTACACAGGACAGCCTTGCTGTCAGCCTGCCTGGACTACCAATGGAGCTACCAGATAAATTATTCCTGATCAGGAGCAGGGTGGGGTGCAGAAGAGGAAAGAAAAACCAGGCACAGAAATAAAAAACAGGTTTAGGGTGGGGATCAGGAGGGAAGAAACTGTTTGGCTTTGCTCAGGGTGATTTATTTAACCAGAGGCAACAACCTGGCCCATGCACTGGGCAGTAACAAAACTTCAATGTTCAAATAAAGTAGAAGGAACTGAATTTGCTACCTTCTTTCTCCTTATTTGACCATTTAAAGTGAAATAGAGTCCATCAGGTTCACTACAGTGGGGAAGAGCCCACTATTTCAGTGGGAGAAGGGAAGTGACCCCTCTCTTACCTTTGAAGGTGGACACAGCACATGTGCTCATCATCCACAGGACTGGAAAGCAAGGTGCTACATGACCCAAAAGTGAATGGTGAGGTTTCCACAAGCACCCTTAGTGTGGTGGGACATTTCTAGAAACATAACTAACAGGCATGGAGCAGCTCTGGGATAAAGCAGAAAGCCTGAGGGCATTTCTCTGCAAGAAATCCAAGCCCAGAGGCATCTAACAGGATATAAGTGGTTCACTCACAAGCAATTTCTACTTGCTGCCACTCTAGACCATCTTTTACATTTTTGCAAGTCATTTAAGAAAAAGCTGTATTATTGCATAAAAGCTCAGTAGGTTTTTTCCCCTTTTAGCAAGTTAAGAGAAGAATCTGAAGCATAGGTTTAAAGCTTAAATGAAGTTATTTAGCATTTAGATGACTACTCTTCTACAGTGCCATCAACCCTGCATGCAATGCAGTGTGTGCTGCTTAGCCTCAACCCCACCCCACTATTAGAGGAGTCTACTGCATCAAGTACTGCTCGTGTACTTACTGTTGTTAAACACTCTAGGGGGAAAGATTTTACAGCTGGAGCTCTTTTAAAATATTTGTAACTTGTAAGCAAACAAGAACAAAATCAAACTCATGCAGTGGGGGAGCAGATATCTGTAGACCAGGAGAGATTGCAGTGAATGAACCCAATAGTCTGTCTCATAAAAGAATCACAGGAATTGTGTTCCACAACAACCATTCCATGAGAGTATTTTTACACCTTCATGCCCCCACACAAAAAAAGGACAGTTTCATCACTGTTCTAATCATTTATTTAATCTTAATATGTTCTTCTGATGAATATAGTCTAATATATAGTCTTCTATATGAAAATTCTCCACTTAATTTGACAGAACTTTGTTTTATACAAATAAGACAATCACCATAAATGTTACATACTGGAGTGTAGGTCAAGAATGAACATATGCTACCTGTTTTGCTATTCAGTTATTTTCACATGTCAATGCCTGAAAATACTGCACTTAAAAACAATAACACTGTTTACTGCAGAAATTACTTTGTCTGCTTGACAGGATACATCACTGGTAAGTTAACCATCATTCACAAAAAAAAAAAAAAAATCAAGTATTTGTCTTTAATTTGTTCACTTTTCTGCTCATGGCTTCATTGAGCTGACATTTAATACAAAGAGTGAACAGTCATAAGCTTAACACAGTCACCACTGAAAAGACACTTTCCCTTACCCTCCCTCCTTCCCACATTTTAATGCACATTTTAGCACAGCTTGAACCAAAGCAAAGTGAAATAAAGTAGTGCAGTGTCTCAAGGTGTCCTTTAATGAGGGCACAGAACATTTTTTCAGGGGGACAGATATACAACAGGATTTGGAAAATACAAAAGAACCTCGTCCTCTTGTCCTTGCTAAGACTCCCTTTAGTTCAGCACATCAGATTTTAACAGAGCAGCCAAGAGCATGGTTAACACAACAGGACTAATAATGAGACACAGAACATCGAGAGGCCAAAACAAAAGGTATTCCATCAGTATTTGCCTACTGCCCAACCTGACTGCAGGAACTGCCCACCAAGATTTTCAATGACAATATTTATGACTGAAGAGTCTTAAGTAAGAAGAATTTGAAAGGCCTTAAAGGGGCCAGTTGTTCAAGAGAACTTTTGCAGAAAGACCAAGCCTTTAGCCCAGTATCAGCCTTCGTTTCCATAGTTACCATTTCTGGAAAAACAAAACATATCCCCCAAAATCCACACATCACAGCCAAACCTTTGTTCCTCATTTTTCACTTTTACTCAAGTACCATCAGGAGCCTTCAGCCAAACCAAGTGATAATCTCCCAGTTCCATCACTTAAGCTCAAAGCACTGAAGTCAAAAAACAAGGCACACTCAATGATGGAGAATCCTGTCCCCTGCTGAGCACTGAGCAGCATGACAGCAGCCTCATTTAAATGTATTTTCAGTGTCCCCACCATGACTCAACACCTTCATTTCCTGGGCACACTTGTCTGTGTGTGTTGTGCAGGCTTCCTTCCAATGACCATGAGGAAATCTCGACCTGAGGTTCCCTTCTCCTGTCAGCTGGAGCTGATTTTGTTCCCCATGATCTGTAGCTCTCGCTGACACCAGCCCAGGGTTTTTAACTGGGCTGCCTCACCTGCTTTGGTTTAGCAGCCTCTGTTGCACCTCAAGGCTTGAGGAGTGTGAGCCAAAATTTCAGTCCACTGACTTCTGCAGAGAGGCTGCAGAGTTTGATGTTAAACAAGGTACAAAGACTTTGGCTGTAAAAACCACTAGAAAAGCTGAACACTTTGAGGTCTTCTACTTTCAGTTCCAATTGAAGTTTTCTACACCATGTTGGACATTTTTACCACTGACAGGAAGGAAACTGCTTAGATATCATTTATTCAACCTCTTGAGTCTGAACATTAATGTACACTGGGGAAAAGATATTGATTAAAATTCCATTTTCAACTAAGAGTGCATGCCTTACAGCCCTTCAAGGGTCCATTTCTTCCCACTTCTTTTACACAATACTAGTTTCTGCAGTTAATTGTATCACATCATTAGGACTATTACTTGTGAAGTCTGATGGCAAACAGAAAAAAACATAGAACAGAATATTTAACTTCACTGAGAAACAACAAACAAGTATATACTCATTCACCCCCTACCAGAGCAGCTCACCTCATTAATGGAGATAAGCAGAAGGATTAAGAGTAACTTTTGTGTTCAATCCAAAGATCAGAAAACATTAAGGTGTAAAATATTACAAGATTAATACTTTGAAGACTCTGGTCCTGTGGCATTTTTCAAATACAAAGATTGGCGACACAATGTTCACTTTAATCAGATTCACACATCTTCAAATCTGCCCTTCCATCCAGTAGACAACTTGTGGCAACGTTCAACTTTAGAAAGTTTTGACTCTACATTAACATGGGACTTAACCTTCCTGAGCAGCAGTACATTGGTTTCTTTCAGCTCAGAGCAGAGGAAGTATCTCTCAAAGCTACTGAAGCAGAAGGTTTTTGAGCTATTTTCAGCTGAAATCCTTGATTGCCACTACTAAAACAATTTCCCTTCAACAAGTTTAAAAGCCTGACCTCTGCAAATAAAAGGAGCAAAAGACAGCCCTCCCACCCTTTGTGTAACACACTAAAAGCCATTTCTAATGGAAAAAGTCACTTCCCTGTACTGTACATTTTATAGTCTTAATTTCAAACAAGGGTCAAGTCTTATTAAGGCAGGGAACTGGTATTGGTTAACATTGCAGTACTCAGACAGTGATGTACAAGACATTTATTTGCAGTATGATGACAGTGATATAAGTGGAAAAACCAAAACTGACATGGTTAATATTAAAACTGTTCTGACAGCAATTCACATAATCTCTGAGATACAGCTTCTTTACTTGTTCGTAGTGTGAGCCTATACATCTGAAAAAGAACATAAAAAAATACTTTTTAAACAGTTTGGCATAAAAGGAATGCACAGTCAACAGTGAATACTAAGTTACTTCTTACTTGCTTTGTAAGCTTTGGTAGGAAAAAGATGGCAAACCACTCAGAGGCAGTGAGCCACTGAGCAAACACTGGCTGAACCAACCCTGTTCCTCAAACCCTTGTTGACAATTACTGTAACTCAAGTATTTATTGGCTTTAACAGAAAGGTGTTGTCCAGAATATCTGTTTAAGAGGAGCAAATGCTGTGGAAAAGCCTAAAGACCCTGTACAGCCAGTTCTTCAGGGAACAGAAGATACAACCACCCAAACCTTATTTTTAATCCTTAGTTAATTTTGTTAGCACCTCTGTCAAAAAAAAGCTTTAGTAAAAATACTCTTAACATTGTAGTCACTTGCTTATGCTTTCTCTTTTAGCCAATTACTCTTTTACTAATTTAAAATGGCAAAAGGAAGCATGGATGATCTGGCCCAAAGTGCACAAGACAGTCTGGAATATTACAACGATCTCTTGGTAGGACCAGCTGCTACAATTTCATTTCTTGTTGGAGTCTGCAGTCATAAGCAGCAATAGCCACAGTGATTTTTAAATATCTTAAGGAGTTTCAGATACATAGAGATATTCAGTGCAAATGAGAACTTGTGTTCTAAGCTGGAGATTATGCTGCAGATACCTGTGCCTGGAGGTTGGGTTCAAGGCGCAGCAAGCATCCAATCTGAGTGGTTTTTGTGTGTATGATACCAGCACCAACAAAGTTAGCAGGATTGGGATCTACCTCCTCAAGCAGGGCTGACCCAAATCCAATTATCTGTGAAAGAAACCCAAAGATTTAGATGTGGGGAGGGAAGGACACAAACACCAAGTATACCCAAACAGTCATCATCTTCAAGACAAATTCATGACTACAAATTTTTGAAGGCTGACCCTGATAAATGAGCTGTTCTGTAAATAAGGCTCTTTTCAAAAGCAACTGAGAAGCAAATTAAGATTTAACATCAGTCCCCCCTTGTTTTGATACAGCCATTCCTGTCTTACACACTCACTTCTGTTTTGCCTAAGGCAGCCAAAAAGTCACTTTCCTCAAGTATAAATTAAGGCTTGAACTGTCTTCCAATTCAGTTTTAAGCAGTGAATTGGTGCTTTCTTAAACAGCTCCAAGTCTCCAGCAGCTACTGAAGACTGCATCTAATTCAAAGTACAGCTAGAAACTGTCCATTCAACTCAGCACTGCCACGATCTATCTCATAGCCTGGACTCACACTTTCACTGGATGTTCCAACTGCCAAATAAACAAAACACACCAAGTTGCTTATACCACGTGCTAATTTGGGCTGGGATAGAGTTAATTTTCTTCTTAGCAGCTGGTATGGGGCTGTGTTTTGGATTTCTGCTGAAAACAGGTGATAACACAGGGATGTTTCAGTTATCCCTGAGCAGGGGTTACACAGAGCCAAGGTCTTTTCTGCTCCTCACCCCATCAGTGAGGAAGCTGGAGATGCACAAGGAGCTGGGACAGGACACAGCCAGGACAGCTGAACAGTGGGATATCCCATACTGTAAGATGTCCTGGCTCAGCACATAAGGCTGGGAAAAGGAAGAATGGGAGGATGCTCACAGTGATGCTGTTTTGCCTTCCCAAGTAACTGTTCCACCTGATGGAGCCTTGCTGCCCTGGGGATGGCCAAACACCTCCCTGCCAGTGGGAAGCACTGAACTAATTCTTTGCTTTGCTTGTGTGCATGGCTTTTCCTTTACCTACTGAACTCTCTTTACCTCAACCCACAGGTTTTCTCACTTTTACCCTTCTTATTCTCTCCCACCCCACTGGGGAAGAGTGAGCAAATAGCTGTGTGGTGCTTAGTTGTCAGCTGGGGTTAAAACACGACCTGCCACTGCCCTGTACATGGAGAATTAAAAATATCACACCACCACCCACCTTTGCTTTCGTGATCTCTGCATCCATCGGGTGCTTTGCTTTAAAGATATTCTGTACTTCCTGTTTTGGACTGCAAGACAAGGCAAGATAAATACATTATGAACAGCACTTCCAATAGCATTTAATTCCATTGGGGGAGCTCAGGGCTTACAGGATTGAGTATGGGATGAGGCACTGCACCAGCTACATTCATTCACAATATACCTTTCTTTTCCCTTGCCCACCACAAGAGCCCAAATATAAAGTCTTACTTGCTCAGCTGCTTCCAACGCTGAAAAAAGTCTTGGGAAGACATCTCTGTTGGCTGGAAAAATTTATTCAGAGTGATGGGTAATTTTACTGAAAGATTTTGAAATGTTCCACCGTACCTGCAGATGGAATAGAAAAACCACAGTGCATGTGGCAGCCTCAGCAGTGCCTCAGCAGAAATCAACCAAGCAACTGAGGAACTGTTTATGATTAAAATCCATCAACTCCACATGACATTTCTAATATACAGTTTCAGTCTACTGTTAAATAAATTTATTTTCTCTGCTTAGATGGCACATGAATTGTCAGAACTGCTGGTACGGTTCTCTCAGTTTTAGCATAGCTGTATCCTTGTAGATAGCATCCTAAGGGGGGAAAATATATCCCTGTGAAAAGGTACCAATAAAAACCAGTTTAGACCAGAGTAACAGCATGTAGGCCAGAACTCAGGATTTTGTAAAGCTGAGCTGACGTTCAGTGGACAGAACAAGATTCTATTTCTGGTTTTGTACACTTCCAGGCCAAGTTATTTGCAGAAATGTTCTTGGTTTCCAGAAGGGAGAAGTTACTGCGTGTATTCCTGTCAAGATTTCTTAAGCAAACAGGAAGACTGCTGTTTTATATAGATAGCAGACACAGAAGTCATGGAGACATTTTATCAGTAGCTGCTTCTTGACTGTTTGGTTTGGCTGAGGTTTTCAACCACATTGTTCCAAGTGGATTCTCCCTAGCACCATAAAGCTTAATTAGATCCAATTTTCAAGTTGTCTACCCAAGAGAGCCCTGTGTGTCCATATTTTGCATTTCAGTCACAGGGCCATGCCAAATTTAACATCTTTCATCTAATTAATTCACTAACATTTGAATCCTTTGTTTTACCTGAACTGAATGTTCAGGATTGGAGCTTCCATGAAGTCTGACACACATTCGATGTTCACAACCTGCTGAACCTGTGCACCTCCATCCACTGTGGGGTCAACAGGCTTTGTCTGAAGATTCAGGCATAGGAAAGTCGTTAAGGAAACAGATCAATGAACTGATCATTTCAAAAATGCAAATCTTCCAATAAGCTCTGTGAGGAATTAGCATCGTGTTTTCACTCATTCTCTTTGTGCTGCTGAACATTTAAAGATGTTTCTGTACAAGAAAAGAGTTTCTGGGGGTTTATTTTTTTGTTTATTGGGGTTTTTTCATACTGACACATCTACAAGCAATAACTCTGAAAATGTTTAGTTAATTGGACAGTCTTAAAGAAAGATGCCCATAAAAAGGTGTGAAGGCACAGAGACTTCACAATAAAAGCCACAGGACTATTCTGAACATGACAGAGAACAAGCCTGATCGCTTAATCTCCCAGAAATATCAAATTTGCAATACCAAGCATTAAGGACCAGCCATTAAATAAAAGCTTATTTTAAAAGTGCCATCATGTTGGCATACATGTGTTCCATCTCCATGTCAAGTTTTAGGTTATGTGCTAATGCAGTACTCGAAGGACACACTTCTACCCCTGCTACTTCATGTCAGTGGTGAAAGCTACAGTTCCAGTACATATTTATTCATCTAGATTTCTTATTTCAGAAATAAAATTTGTGTTTATAACCAGGGCTTTAAGGAAAGAATCTTTCATCCCTGCTCAAGACTTGTTCTTTCTACAAGAACTTTAGTGAGTTATCAGCAAGTTTCTCATTTCTTCATGTTCAAGGACACTGTGCCTTGATCCAACAGATTTATTATATTGTGCAGCAATAAACCACAAAAACCTAATAAGAACAGACACATGACTACATTTAAGGATATTTGATTGAAGGTCATCTGAGCAGATTACTGTTGGAGTAAAATTCAAGAACTGTGTTGATGTCTTATTACCATAGAATATGAACATCCGTCCTGGAAAGAGAAGAACAAGACATCAGAAATTTCAGGTCATGTAATCACATTGAACTACGTGTGCTTCAATCCCTAACACACTGTCTTTCTACCTTTCTTTAAAACCACTTTTAAGAACAAAATACAGTTTACATGGTTTATCTCACCAAGACATTCACAGTTCAAAATGCAGTGACTTAACCAAACCATTCGATCTCTCCTACAGTAGCTGTCACACAGGCAGTTAAATCATCAGTGGAAGTCTTTCAATTGCTGGAGAATTTTGTTAAGATGCTACTATGCCACCAAGAGTTTCACAGAAAGGGAGAAGCAAGCAATTCTATTGCTAGCCTATGTTCAAATTCCATCTCTTTCCTAGCTGGTTTCAGTATCTTGTGCATTCAATCTGCTCTGAAATGCACTGTGACTCATATCATTACAATAAGCTATATTGCAAAATGTAAATTTTGACAAGAATGGTCCTCTATAAACCTGGCTCCACCAGCCATACAACCAGACAGCAAGAGCTGGAGTGCCGGAGCTTAACACTCCTATTTCATATCAGCTACTAAAACAATAAAAAAATTTAAAGAAGCAAGAGCCCACACAAAAGCCAGGGATGCACAACAGTGGGAGTTGTAAAACTGCTTAGGCCTACAATGCTATTTCCCTTTCAGCAGCTGGAAAGTGAGTCCTAGCTGGAATATCATGCTGGCACTGTGATTGATAATGCTCACAGCCAACCATGGCACAACAGATCTTACCCAGGTTCTGTCGAAATTCAGACTTCAAGCCAATTTGTAGCAACTGATTTTCAAATAAGACTCCATTATTTTTACACACAAACCTAGGGGAAGAGAGGGAAAACATGTTTTAAATTGAGCCTCTTTAAACAATATTTAGAACCACAAAATTCAGGGTTTACACAGAGGATGAAGACTGCGGTTAACCTAGAATGCATCAGTCTGTGAGAGAGCCTTTGCAGAAAACTGCAGTTAGAAAACACAATTTTACAATCAGAGCCACCACTTGTAGGACACTAAAAGAACTGACATTTTTATTTGATAGGATGTCTGAGAAACTATGAAGAAAACCACAATATGCTATATACACACACACTGTCTAATAAAGGACCAGGCAACAGATTAGGATTTTTCTTATTAGTCTTGAGAACTTCTGAAACTCATTGGGTTGGTGCAGAATTGAAAAGTTTGAAGCTTTGACTGTTTAAACCTGAAAGAAAAAACCCTCCTTTTTTAATCATTTCTGTATCACCTAAGCCAACTGAGAGATGTACTTTTTCCACTTTGAGAGAGGAAGCCCATTCTCCAGTGATCTCTGTCCTTTCCATCACCCCTCACTTAAAAGTAGAAGAGGTGGTCAGCAAACATCTGCCTTTTGCATACAAGGCACTTAAAACACACTCCCAAATATCAGTACTTTCGACAAGTACTCCTGGAATTTATTTATTTCCAAATAATTGCAAAAACATAACATACAACTGGCATTGCCTCATTTTAGAGCAGTGTGTGATAGCACTGACTTGTAAGGGCAACTCTAACCTGTGTATTCATGAGCCTGTCACAAAATCCACAGCATCCTCAGAGGTGTTCTAGTCACAAGTCTGACAGTACATGTTTCTCTAGTTTTGCTGGTATTAAATTAATGAACAATATAGTTTTGCTTTATAACTATATTCTGGAAATTGCCCAGCCTTGCAAGGTTTTAGTATTGCTTACTTGTGAAAAAGCTCATCAGCATCATGCACAGTATCAGCTGGTTCCTCAGAAACTACCTCAGATGAAGCCAGGTCAGGGCTAGTTCAGGCAGCACAAAGGAAGAAAGGCAGTAGCGACAGAGACAGCAGGAGTTAGTAAAGACAGCTTAGAGCTTAGTTACTTCTTTTACCTCCTTCCTCAAAAACGGCACTGCTGAGCTTAATGCACCAGAAATTGATTAGCTGCCCTAGCTCAGAACCCTAGAAAGGTTTTAGGCATTAGGCAATGTTTTCCCCCACTTCTCTCCCCCATCCCACCCCGACTGTTAGAAAACAGCAGTCCCTCAGGAAGATAGCTAAAAGTGTTCAGTAAATGTAAACCTCTTAGAGAACCAAGTCCTTTTAGGTGTTTAACTGTGACAGCAAAAGTGTTTCAGTTCAAAGTCAAAAAGGTAGCTGCATATTAACTACTACAAAGGTGTGCTTAAAAGCAGAGGCCTCATCAGCCTTAGGGACCCTTCTAATTAGCGGTGCACAATCAGTTCCTAAAAACACATAAATATTAAGCATAGGCAAGAGTACACAGGCACACAGAGAATAACTTACCCAAGCAACAGAATAGAAACAAAAGTGACAACAGCATTAAAAAGAGGCAGGAAACTGTAAAAAGCAACTTCTCAGTATCATTAGAGAAGCATTTCATCATCTACAGACAAACCAAGGAGTTGGGCATTGCTATACTTTCTTCTGCAGAAAGAGAAAACTCTTCTTGAGTAACATTTGCTTATGAAGCTACTAGCATTGGTTCCTTTTTCTACCTCCTTAAAAAAAAAAAAAAAAAAAGCATGAAGAAGCCTGTGTAGCTTCCTGAAGTCCTGTTTTGTGTTGTATGATCAGGTATCACTTCTGATCTTCCAGCAGAAACACAGGATCAAGTATTAATCACTGCAAACCCAAAACAAATGCATTGCCTGCTATAAAATTTTGATGAAAGTGTCAATGATCCAGGCAGATCAGTTTCCTTCATTATGTCTTTTATATTAAGATGCATTGAAAATTTGTTGTGCCAACATTCAAAATTTGGTCCTTGACAAAAGCAGTACGTTCTTGTCTAGTAAGACTACTGATTTTAACGACATTCTGTGATTTTATGCCTTTAATTCCCACGAATTCAGCCAAATAACATTTGAGAGTTGCCACAGGGGCTTTTAATACTAATGGGGTTAATAACACATTGTACCTACACTACACTTGGTAATGTAATTGTAGTATCAAATCCCCTTTAAAGAAAAGAAAACCACTTGTTCTTTATCCCTCTTTTCAGACTCCTTTGTCAGACAGTAGCAGAACAACTGAAGTGTAGCATTAAAATCTGGGAAGCAGTATGTCTGGATACAATCCATCTCACTGTTTCAGTAGCAGTTTGCCATAAGTGGAGAGACAAGAATACTTTATGAAAAGAAAGTAAGAATAAATGTATTCATATCGAGACAGATAACCCCCACTTCAAGATGTATGGAGATGCACAAGCAGCTTACTTTAACAAAGAAGCAAAACCAGCATGAAAAACAGACACAACTGTGTGGCAAATATTCTCAGGTTGAGTACTACAGACTCAGCTTTTCCATTAGAAGAGATATTCAGTAAAGACAGCACATCCAGCAGAGTGTCCAAGAACCTCTCTTGCTGCAAAACTACCACCCAGGAATGTACTCAATATGCTGGAACAAAACCCAAAGTTATGTGTGTTTTTCCTTCAATCCTGTTTTAACAGACAAATTCTCCTTCAAATTCCTTTCAGGGTGGCTTAATTACCTCGCAAAGTTGTCATCAGAACCAGGAGCAAGAGGTGCAACTGCAGAAGCTGAATCTGAAAATACATCCACGAGCAGGCTACCACTAGAGGAAGGTGGGGGAGCTGAATTGGTGACAGGGGCAGCACCCAGACCCAGCAGATCCGCCGATGGAGAAGGAGTAGACTAAGGAAGACAAGACACTTTGGTGTTACACTGCAACAAAACTACAACAAAGCTGTCTCGTTTGCATAGACAACTAAGCTATGGCAAGGTGCCTCTCCCCACCCCAAATCAAGGCTTGAATGGCTGTAAAAGGGTTCACAAATGCAGCAGTTACCACGCTGAATTTCAACTTAAGGTCATTTACAGATGTGGTTTTCTTTTTTTCCTTTGAAGAGAGTTATGTCCATCTAACCGTTAAATAAAAACAAAACCAAAATTATTCTGTCTATAATCTGGTTCTGCAGAAGAAAGATGACAAAAAATGACTGCTTTTCCCCCCTCTCTTTTCCCATCAGTTTCAAGGGAAAGTAAGTACTGTAGGGAATAAAATTCACATGTTGCTTTTCTTTCATGAAGAATCCATCAAGAAAGCAAGCGGCTTTTACACAAACCAAAAATCACATGTCATCACAGCATCTTTAAAATTGACTATCAGTTTAATCCTGGGTTTCTGAAGCCTAGGAAATCTTAAAAAGAATGTAAACCCAACCAGCAACAAAAGCACAGCCTGTAGCCAGTTCAAGCTGCAAACACTAGAGGAAGACACAAGATGTTTAAACTGTTTTTTCCTCAAACAGAGCAAATCAAGCAGCCAGGACACAGAATCATGCAATAGAGGCTGATATATGTGCCCAGGTGGCATGCAAGAACAAAGCACAGACTGTTAATCAAATGGTCATGTATTAGACATGAGCAGCTTCCACTATGCCAGATAATCTGAGGATGAGTCATGAGATGCGTTTGGATGAATCTGAAATCTTGGTTTTGTAAGCCAACTCCAAGTTATCATATACTCCGTACAGGATAATGAAAAATTCCTTGGCAAAAGACTTTAAGAAGCCAGTCATTAGGAGCTACTAAAAACAAAGGTTGGACTTCGAATTTCTAACATTTTTGGATTCTAAACCAGACAAAGCCTCTGGTGAAGGTCACACTGTGCAGTCTGTTACACGGCTGCAATCCATAAAGTGAAGCTCATGAAGCATAATGCAGTATTATCTGTCAGTCACCTCAATTTGGGCATCCAAAGAAAATGTTGCAACTTTTCTGCTAGAAAGAGATGTCTGTCCAGTCAAAATTGTTGCACTTGGAGTAGCTACTCTTACATACTGTAGTAACTAAGTAAATTATTATGCTTTAACAAACTGGGCAGGGAGCATGCTGCAGTATTTCCTCCTCTAGGAAATCTTCTATGGCATCTTAAATCTAATTGCAACTTTTTCTAGGCATTAAAACCAGAAAGAAGTGTTACATTATGGAAAAAATTGATACCATCAGCTTTAACTGACAATAAAATGAGAAGTTGCAGCTCAGACAGAAAAAAACCTGTGGACTTGTCTAGCACAACTGAATTCAAATAGTACTGTCAAATAAAAAGTAACAACTTTATACTGATTTGAGGACATCCCAGTGAAGGTAAGTGATGTCCAGTTCTATTAATAACCCAAACCAATATGCAAAATAACATGTTAGACAAAGCAGATAAATAGCTGATACTCTGAAATTCAATTTAACTCCTTTTAAATATGTTACTTTTATAATCTCGCCTTCAGTGCAATTTCACCACCAAGGAAATTTCACATTTCTAAAGTGAACAGCAATATTTTTCAAATAACAATGTAAAAGGGATTTTTTTTTTTAGGCTGTAGACTGTTTGTCCCCACTTACATAAGATTTCCAAAGGAAAATTGCATTCAAGATGCATCGAGGGGAAAGCAGCTGTACATCCCCTGCTTTATAGGAAACATACACAGCCTTAAGTTTCAGAGGAGAGGTTTTAAGTCCCCAAAAAGCCACTTTAGGAAACCAGTCTTTTCTCACTTGCACACCATCTAAATGAGTGAAATAACAGCTTTTAAACTCACAACAGCACTGGCATTGACAGAGGCAGGTTCAGCACTTCCATTCATATCAGAGCTCCTCTCCTTTTTGATCTCTTCCAGGTCAGTAACTGTGCCCGGGCCTTTCTTCTTCTTCAGTTTAGCCAAAATAGAAGATTCCCTCTCTGGAAAGGGAGGCATTTCTTCCAACACTGTAGCCTTAGCATAGGGAAAAAAAAGTATTAGTTAAACTTCAGAGAAAAAGCCAAACCAGCTTCTGAGTCTTTGAAGAGACACACCCTTATAGATTGCATAAAGCAAAAGCAGAAGTAGTTACCCACACAGAAAATTATTATGCAGTTTATTGTAGCAAGGGATTGATCGCTTTTTTAAAAGAAAAAATTCTTCAAAATTTTCTGAAGTCCTTCCAAAGCACTTGGTTAAGAAAACAGGAGCATATCAATTCTCTGAAACAGTGATATTAAATTTAAAAAATTAAATAATTAGATCATAGTAGACCTAAGGGTCCTTAAGTCAGGCAGACTTAGACTTAAACCACAAAGAATACTCAAGCATTTTTATTAGATGTCAAAACCAAATGTGCAATGCTCCTCTCAGACCTGAGATCACCTGGTTAAACGACAACTTCATGGGACAAAAAATTACACTTTTCCTGCCCATCATCAAGTAAATCCTCAAAAGAAATCCCCAGCCTTTTGACACCTAAATCCTCTAGGACCCTGTATTGTGCCAGCTCTCCCTGGCTTCTCTGCTCCAGATTAACATGTCTTAATGGTCATATGTCCCACTACAGCAGCTGCAACTTGGAATGTAGCTCTAAATTAAAGGTGACTACAGCAGAATTAAGGAAACTAAAAGAACCAGCACCCATATTGTAATCCTTAATCCTGCACTGAGATTTCTGAGCAATCAGGTAAGGTTTAGTTAACTTGTTGACAGCAGAGTACTGCATAATAAAGGAAATAAACCTTTATACCTACCAATATATCAGTACTAGCAATAGTACTGAGCCTCAAATACTCAACAGCTCTCTGCTGCAGCTCAACATCAGCATTCTTTAGCTGACTGTCACTGCGCAGCACGTCTTGAATTGTAGTTTTGATTTCTGGAAACAGGTTCACAAACTTGATGTAGGTGGACAGAAGCAGAGCTCGGGTAGGAACACTACACAGATGAAACTTGGAATGTAGCAAGTTGAACTGGATGAGGGGACTTAAAAGAGGGAAAAAAATAATTTGTTCAGTTTTCGTAGAAACGATAATCCTTCTTATTGCATTATTAGCAAGAGCTGAATGATTTCTTAACTAGCCTTTAGGAATGCTAGGAATTAAATTCTTTACAGAAAGCATTACTACTCCAATTCAGTATTTTAGAAGGTATTTTACCTTGATCTTGGATCACCTGCTATCAGATTTCCGAATTCTCCCAAGATGTAGCCACCTACTTTTACAAGATTCTCATGACATGCTGGAGCCTGAAGGGCCTGTAACACATCAATAATCATTGATACACAATGTACAAAAACACCCATCTTTTCTGTCACTTCCATTCCCAGTTTTCTCACCCACTTTCCTGCAAGAGCAGACCACGGATCTAGGCACTACAGAGCATTTATGAGAAAAACATGATGGGTGGTATGATTTCACAGAAGACTCTAGTAGGAGTATTACTTGATTAAGAGCACCCTTAGGCCCACCTAGCAGCACTGAGGACTTTTGACAACAGACAGAACTCCTTCATTTCCCCTGTCACATCATGTGGTGCTTCCTTAATTCTTATTTTGAAAGGGAATTGAAAACAGTTACCCTCACCTCAAAAACAGTCTTTGCTGCATATCCTTGCACATCATCCCTGTTGATGACAATCTGGATGACTCGGTACCACACCTCTTCACTGACATAGTCACCAGCAATGCGAATGAGATTCAGGATTGTATCCACATACCAAGTGTAATCCACTGCATACTTCTCAGCCAGAATTGCAACCTTCAGAACCTGAGCACACAGAAGAGAACACAGAAGGTTGATAGCTCTGACTATGAGCTGTATACACCTGGTGATGCCCCACACTGGCCCAGAAGCCTCAGTTTCAGATACATGAGCTTGTTCACTTGTTCCCACGGCCAAGGTGAAAGGTGAACACTGAAATGCTGTGCCAGAATACAACAGTTGCCAGGCACATACTGCTTTCCCCATAATGCATTCAAATATGTTGCATCTTTGTGGCTTTCCAACCATGTACCTAAGTGATCAAGAGCAATTTATAGAACATTTTTTGTTTGCTAAAAACACCATCTAACACCATTTACCTCTGAGACAGGATCAAATAGGAAATTGGAAACCTCTCAAAAAAAAGGCAAAAGGTAACTCAAGATAGCAGAGGCAAATAGCCACCAAAGCATAGCTGACTTTTTCAGGTCATTCTCAGATTCCTGTATCCTGAAGCAAACAATCAGCTTCAGGGGAGACCCCACGCAATTTATTATCAGTTGCATTTATTACTCTTAAAAGACCAGGTCAGCATAAGGGAACAGAATTAAATTCTCACTATCTGCCAAGTCAGGGGACATTGCCAACAGCAACCAGACAGCACAAGACATAAATCAACTAACACAGTATTCCACATTCACTTCTCCAACCAAGGCACTTCAGCACCTAACCAAGCCAAATAACTACTGTAAGAACAAGTTTAGTTTACCATCCTAAAAAGGTTTAAGTTGAGTATTTCAACTTTTATCCTACTGGCAGGAAAGAGATAAATATCAGGCCTCTTAGCTGATTATAAGGTAGTGATTTTGGGAACCCTTAGACTGAATATTCTCAGAGCATACAAAGTTCTACCTACAAGTAAGCATTTAGCACTAATTTTTGAAGCTACTGGACAATGACTAGCTCTCAGATGTAGAGAATATGTTGGGGCTGACATATAAAATTCACTTTGCTTTCTATATGCACTGTCCCGAGACCAAGATCAGCTTTTAAAATTCTTAAGTTTCCAAGGTTCCCCCCTGCCCCTGGATTAATTCAACCTAAATTCTTTGCTATTAGACTACAAAATTTGTTTGTTTTAGTAGTTTTGTCTGGAGGTTTTTTTTAAGCCACCATGAAAAGCAATCTCTATCACAGACTATGCAGCAACCCAACCAATAAATTATATTTATGGTACCAAATCCAGCTACGAAACAAATATTTAAGAAAAACACCAATAGCTTACAATTTCTTCTCTAATGGAATAATCAGCAGTCTCCAGATAATTGAGCATTTCAGCCACAATCTGCTGGGCATTGCTCCGGTCACACATTGCATACAGGAGATCTACAGCTCTTTGTCGTACACTGACATCTCTTTCAGTCTGCAAAAAGACACAGTCAAAGCTCAATATGATTTCATCTTTGTTTGGAAAGTACATGCAACTTAAGAGATGAAAGTTAGTATAATACACATTCAAATGTAAAACAAATGATTTTGCATAATTTTTCAAAGGCAGAATAAACTCTTTATGTAACATATAAGCTTATATATATATGAAGATGTAACTCTTTATATAAGCTGTGAGTTTCTTATGCTATTTCTCACTTTCAGTCATCTAGGAAGAAATCAGTGGAGACTCAGCCTCCTGCTTCTAAATACTATCACAAAAATTCAAATCATCAGGTTTTGTTTCTGTAGCATACTTATTCAAATCTGTGCAGGTGCTGAAAGAATGGAGGAGTTTGTACACAACACTTCAGTATTAAGCAGAGTGGAGTGAGTGAATGTGTGCTCCACTATGTGCTGAGTAATTGGTACCAGTGGCCATAATGCACCAATAACTGGCTGAAATTGTTAAATTGTTACCAGGCCAATGAGCATTGAGCTACTTGCAGGTTTAGTGTCTGGCATGCCTTGTAACAACTGAAGTCCAGCTACAACAAACACATACTTTGAACTTAGACAAATGTATAAATATGCTACAGCATAAACTTGGAAGAAAAGAAAGCATTTAAACATCCAAGTGTGCAAGTAAATTTACATGCAAATCAGTATTACTCTTTTGACTTCAGCTTGGTCACACAAACATGGCATGCAAATGTGTCTTTCTGGTTTCTAGTCTTTACAATTCCTCAGTGCAAGCTGATCTGTTCTACCACTCCCCATAAGATACTACAATGAAGGAACAGTGTCCAATACCAGCAAGACAGTAATAAAACTGTCTTCCCAGCATTCTCAGTTTTGAAATTCCACATTTTTAAACAATTATTCATCTTCAGCCCAGATATGAGCAGATACCAGCGTTACAGGGGACAGATCTACAGGTATCAGATTTACCAGCAAGGTGCAGAAACCAACAAGAGCTGACTTCTGTAATTGCCTGAACAGCAAGATTTTGCTGGATTGAAGTAAACTCAAGCAGACTTAACAGAATAACTCATTTGGTCCCTAAGTATTATTAACTTAATTGGGGACAGGGAGCTTGGGGCAGTGAGGCAGGGGAGAAGACAACACTCATAAACAGACCACACACTTCAATATTTACCTTCAATGCATTGATAACTGTTTCTATGTGTGTTTTCACAGCCTCATGTGAGAATTCAGAGCTGGCAAGCGTGCACATGCTTTCCAGTGCTAGGTAACGTAAATTAGTTTCTCGGTGCTGCAAGAACTGACCTAGCTGGTTACAGGCACGGACTAGTAGGTTTGGCTCACTGCACAGAACAGGAGAGAAAGTGAAAGGGTTAAAAGCAACAGGTTTGAGAACACTCAATTCAGAATACTATTTCTGCAGTGGAAATTTCTTAAAATGCCTCCAAGTGTCTGCTAGAATGCTTTGCTAGTGAAATGCAAATTCAGAAACTGTGAGCAAATAATCTCTGTTGGATTAGAGCAGTGGGGTCAATACAAAACATCAAATAAAGAAGCAGCAAAACCCAAAGCTACACAGTTCATTAACATTGTTCAGTTATATTGCTGTGGTTGTGTTCCAATCTAGCAAGCAACTTCATATTCTTTTCCCCTCCGCTCCCTCCCCCATTAAAATCTCATTAACTGTTCAAGACAAAGCCCTAGCTTTTCACTTTAAAATCCCCTCTGATAACAGAAGTGTTGTCCCAGCTCACCTGTCATGATGTATAATTAAGCTAATTGCCTCAAACAGGACAGCATTCTTTGCATTCGAGTGTTGCACCTTCTTTGACTTTGGTGGCTCCTGTGCTTTGTTGAGGATTGTTTCCAGGCATTCTGTCAGACGGCCACGTACCGCAGGGTCTTCTGGAGAACAATGAGCCGTTGGACAACTTCGTTTTGCTCCAAACCTAAGCCTTTCCCTCGGCTAAATCTAAATTAACTCAACTATTTTGAGACATTAAAAAAACATTTACACTCCCCAACACACACAGGAAAAGAATTCCAAGCCACAGTTCTATTGGGGTGAGAACAAAAACCAAACACAATCTGCACTACAACATACTTCAAGGCTTTAATATAGTTGATAATATTAATGAATGTTTAAAATGGTAGCTGCCAATGATTTGTAAGATGCACACTGGTTAGATATTTTGTTAAAATTAAACACAATATAATTCATAACGACAAGTACCTTAGAGCTACCAGAAACACTCAAGAGTACAAACTTCAGTGCCTTTGCCTTAAGACAATGTGCTTGCACTCCAAGCTACTGCAGTAGCTCTTCGGAGCCAGTGAACTGCATAAGAGAGATGACCAGTGCTGTGATTTGTGCATTACCTGGAGGTGGATAGCACTGTAACAGCCTTAGAAGTTTCACAGATAGCCAGGGAGCGGGAACAAAGTAGTATGTGTAGTCCTGAAGGTCTGTTGATGCAGAAGTTACAATCTGTAAAACAAACAACCAGCACATCAGCTGCTGAAGTTAATTGATTCACAGTCATGAAAAGGACCCAAAAAACACTGTAGGTCACCTCTAAGAGAAGCTTAAAAAACTGTGTCACTACCAATGTCTAGTTCAGTAGATTAATTAGGTGCAAGCTGCCATACCATGAGTATACCACAGTAAATGCTAGTCATGGAAATCCAGTTTTGCAGATACAGTAGTCTAGGGAGTCTCTTCTGAAAGCCTATTTGCTTTTTTTAAAAGAATGAAGACAACCATCTTGTAACATCAAGATGTTTAACCAGAAACCTGACCTTCTCTGTTCCAGCAATTCAGATTCAGCCAACAGTCTGGTGGCTGCTGATAGGTGAGCCTGCAATTCAAGTACAGGATGCTATGATAGACTGACCTACAGCAGAAAGACCAAGTAACACCTTCAGTAATATCCCTACAGCAAAGCAAAAAGGAGATAGCATTCACAGAAGAGGTTTATATGCATAATGAAATGTGACAAGGATTAGATTACCCCTCTTCATAGATTTATTTACCCCTTTTATTCTAGGGTAACCATGAGATTGGCACTAGCTTTGCTCAAAAAAAATCTACCTAATTCTTACTGCTCCATTATAGAACAGCCTTTCACTTCCCTCAGCACTCCCTTGCTTTTAAGTATTAGAAAAAATATTTGTATTTAAAAAGAAAGTAAACTGTAACCTACAAATAATTTGTGTATAAGACTGCATAAAACTGGGTGCAAAATACATTTGTGAAGTAGTGGGCTCCCTAGTCTTGCACACCTTTCAAAAGAGGGGGGAACAAAATCAAACAAAACAGTTTTCCAGAACAGAAATGTTAATTTACAGACATGTCCCTCCACTCCTCCCTGCCCCTGCTTAACCCCTACATCATTTACTGAGTATCAGATGTTTATGATTATTAACTTAGCAGCAGCTCAAAAGAAGGAACAGGAAGGCAATTTGTCCTGTAAGAAGCTTAGATAAAGTTAAAGCTAGTCTGTATTTTTGAGGAGTTTGTAGAATCAGTCTCTGATCCAACTATTTTTTGGTATTACAGTAACAAAGTGAGGATTACTATTTGGAATACAGTAGGGATTAAACTAAGAAAGTCTGGGCAAGCCAATACAGTTTTCTGTCCTGGTAAGCAACAGGTATTTAAAGAGGTTACCTGAAGCACCCACATGAAGTGACACTGAATCATCTTCACATTTAATGGTACAGTAAACTAATCTGACCCTAGAAAGCTGAACAGGAAGCTAACCTGATCTAGAAAGCTGAGTAAATTAATCAACAGTGAAGTATTATCAGGGTCATCATTGAACTCACTCTGCTTAATCTAGACACTGCCAAGGAGACTGAAGTCTTAAACTCTTCTGGGTTCTTCTGTGCCAAAGTGGTGATCAGACTTGTAGCTGCAGTAACCACGCCCTAGGAAAAAACAAAACACAAAAAAATCCCCATGATCAATTTTCTATCAGTTTATGATGCTGCCCATTAACACCTTTCAATTCAACTGTTTTATAATATACAAAAAAAAATTATGTTTATCCCCATTACAAAGCCCTACATTAAAAAACCCTTTATTTGGCTAGCAGCTAGACTAATTACACACCTGCAGAATCCAACAGAATTTTCAGCAACACGATACTGCCATGCCTGCAGAGCATTTTATGCTCTTTTTTGTATTAGTTTTGTCTCCTGTTTGGATAGTACTCATAAAATAAGAGAGCTGTATTAAAATTAAGCCTGGACACAAATTGTCTTATTATACATGAGAAGCATGAGCAGAAGAAATTCAGTGCAGCAGATCATCCAGGAAAGAATTCTTACAACCCAACACGAGGAGAGAGCTTTGTATTAACACAAGCACCAGATATTACTACTGCAGACTAAAGCACCCATTACTGTTGCACAGGTATTAACAGCTTTATTTTCATAAAGTAACTGGACTAGGGGGAAAAAACAGGGTCTCCTTTCTAAAGTAACAGGGGGTTTTTTAAGCATCAAAGTAAGAATGACATGGACACCATAGGACAAGGAAGTCTAAGCAAATGACAAATCAAGTCTTTAATTTTTAGTGCAGATCTAATCTTAAAAGGCCTAGGAAAATTCATATTACACCTATCCAATGTGACTTAGTGTAACAAGGCACAAGATTAATTAATTTATAGCCAGAGGAAAAGAAGAACTTGTACATACCATTCTTCTATCTATGGTGAAAAGGTAAACAAAGTTTTATTAAAAATTAATATATACAGCAACTACAAGAGGACAACTCCTTCCATTTTCTTCTCAAAGCCTGAAGACAACAGCAAGGCACTTGCTCGAAAGATTCAAGAAGAAATAACTTGTATATCTCCCAGCAGAAGTCACATCATCCCCTGTACACACTAGGCCCAAGAAGCCCCATGAAGCTGATTTACCAAGTGCTGGTCATTGAGGAGATGCACCACTCGAGATGTCCAGTCTCCCATGGGAACAAGGTCAGGAGAAGTTCTGTACAAACGCAGCAAGCACAAAGCAGCACTTTGCTTCACACTGTCCATAGTGTCCCTGCAAGACATACACACTGATTTGAAATACAGTGCTTAAGGCACAGCAGTACTTGCAGGACAGCTTTATGCTGGATTTCACACTGACTCAGCATCCCTGGCCAGACTGCATCTTCTCAACAGAGGTTCACTGCAGTCTTCTTATGCTGAAGTATTTGTTCTTAATTTTTCCAGTAAGTTTGATTAGTCAAGTTTTCAACTGTTATACAAGTGACTAGACATATGTAATGATTCTTTGCAACTTGAGTGACATTTCACATCTCTTTATGAAAATTGAAAGTTCATCTCATCCAATCACAAGAACAAGCTTCTCCCAGGCTGACTGAATTCAGGTAGCTCAGACAGATACACTACCTTATGAATGTGACCAAAGCTGGATCTCCTGCAAGGTCCTGTGAGTCAGACAGAAATCAGGAACTACTGAACAGCTTCAGCATCTACAGCTACAATGTAAGGTGGCTGTCACCAAGCACACAACCCACAAATCTATTCACCTTGCCATCCCTTGCTGCTGGCACAGAAATGGACTATTTTAAGAGTGGCATGCAACTATTCTAGTTCAGTGAACTCCTTTTCACAAAGTAGTTGATTAAGCATTTTGTGGGATGCACAGACAACAGCTATAAAATGTACAGAGCACATTTATAAAAACCAGTAGAAATTTTAAAGAGGCAACTTACAATGTACAATCTTGGTTAAATGTTCAGAAACCTCTGCATCTCCAGTAGAAGTTCAGCCCAGCTATTCTTCATGAATTTATCAGTTTTCCATGGAATCAAGTTGTACCTCAGTTAAAAACCCCCAAATAAAACCACGAACCTATTCCTCCCATCTCTAATCTATATTTAAGCCAAGAGAACCACACTGAATTTGCAAATGTAACTGACAATGCTCATTTTGCCCAGGTCACTTAGGACAGGCACACAGACATATTTCATATACATTATATCAGAAATGCAGAAGGAATGAGACCCTGAAGAGTGATCTCAGGAAACACAAACACATCTCCAAGTTCAAACAAGTCTGACCTGAAGGTGCTGTGCTCTGTCTGCGATTAGTGACCCCAAGTGAAATTTCTGGAACTTTTTAAGGCTCTTATTAAAAGCCCATGACTCATCACTGCAATATTGTCTCCACTATGCTACATGGAGAACAGCACCTGGCAAGGGCACTGGCCTGACATTTAGAGTATTGATAGAGTTCTTACATCACATGTCACTTTTTATATTAATGTAAGACAGTTACTTGTTATAAAAAGATCCATGCATATTCTAAAACACTTTATATCCATAGGAGTTTAAATGCACGGTTTGCACTTGGACATTTTAAGTTTCAAAATAAATTAGCCCTACAATCACACGTCCAACTTTATATTGACTTAACTACAGTTTCTGTAGTTAACTATAGACATTTGTCAGATCTGTTTAGAAATTTTCAGCTATACCAAAGTAAGAAAATTGGTGACTATTTGCTATTTACGCACTAGTAGAGGAAGTAAGAAAACTCACAAATCAATATTACCGTGTTTCTTATGAAATTGGTACATTTACATAAGAGCTTCAGTTTGTAACAAAATTTGTAATCTAAACATCTATTTAGGTTCACTTATTTCTTTTTTCATCAGGACAGGTAAGGAAAGTAAAACTTAAAAATTTCAGCTGTATTCGGTAACACAGGTTTATCCAAAACAAAAATCAGATCACAACAAGGCTGTAAAAGCCTATTCAAGACACCCAAAGTCTGAATTTCCATCAATCTTAAACTCCTGCAAGCAACTCCACAGTCAGGCAAGTGAAAGCACCTGCAGCTATTGGAACTATCACTATACTGCAAGGCCAGGCTGTATAGCCCAAGCACAGATTAAGGTTCTGCAATGGATCCAAGCTGCTGAAAAGTTCATCGGTGTTGTATTTGAAAGAGGCATGTCACACCTACCCAGCCACAAGAATTTTGGGAATTTCTCCAGCAAAGGCTTCGGCCATCTCGCGGCTGCCCACGTTGGCGATGCAGTGCAGAGCCAGGCCCATGAAGGTGGGGTTCCTGCTGGCCAGGTCGTTCTTGATGGCGTTGTTTATGAGGCGGATGAGCTCGCTGTTAGAGTTCACCAGCACCGAGATGAACAGATAGCCCTGTGAGTCACAGCATGCAAAATCTATTTCAGCTGATTTCATTTACTGGGCATTAACAGGAAACATGATTTCTTTGATACATATGCTTCTCTCCAATATCAATGGGCAGAAATGGGTATTTAGACAGGACAAGGCTAGAAAGATTAAGTGGATTAAACAAAATTAGTAAGTTCAGTGTTACCCCAATTATCTGGTTTTAAGTATTTTCTCAATCTATTCCGGCATATACTTAAAAGATCATTTTAGATGAATGGAGACCAACCAAAATTTTGGCTTATTATTCAAATACTAATAAGTTACATGCACCTGATAAACATGACTTTACCTAGGGAGATGGAAAGAGATACTCAGAAAATTAAAAGGTTACTTACCTTTTAATGCAAGACTCAAGGCAGTTTCTTAAGGGTAATAATTTTATGCAGAACATACATTTTTTGCAACTAATTCAATACTCCCTATGCTCAAAGGTGTTTAGATTTCAGAATCATTCCTAGAGCCAAAATAAGGCTTTAAGCCAGAGCAGGAGGAATGAAGCAAAATTCTTTACAGACTCTACAGCTAAGGCAGGGTATTAGACAGGCCAGGTTATCTTTTATAGAGCCCAAGTTACTCACAATTTGTTTCTCTGTATATCTGTTGGAACTGAGCAGGTTTACAGCCTCCATGTGACCAAAATCAATGTCATGCCCCAGCAGAAAGATGAAGAGCAGTTTGCAGACATATTTTTTCTTACTGTAACCATCCAGAGCCTTGTCACCTGAAAAGCATGGAAACAAACAATAATTAAGCCTATGTTAAGCTTTTAGTTGATTACCTACTGATAATTCCATCTACCATTATCTATATCCTAAAGGATGGTGATGAAAGGATGGTCAGGAAATAATGCTGTCATCTAGTCCTTGAGGTATCCTGCAGTGTCCTTAAGAGTATGTTCCTACTAAGAGGCATTGCATCCATGTTTGCTCCATTTTGACTTTCTTGCTTCTGCTAAGAGCATTTATGTCTTCCATACACATTCTCCTCTTAAACCAATTATCAAGCCTTTATTACAGTAAAAGTGTTAACGTGCTTTTTCCAGTGCACCACTGCAGAGAACTCAGCAGCAACAAATAAAAAACCCAGCAAGCCGTTTTAGAAAGATCAGGTGACAATGGTCTATCCCAAAGATGCAAAGAAACACATAAAATGAGATTACCATGAGACCTTTAAAGTTTTTGTAAAATGGGAAGTATCACAAGTGTTCCAGTTTTAGAAGAAAAATGCACCCTAAATAGGTTTGGCCATATGTTGCAGTACTGCTGATTTTAGAAGCTTGCAGAAGCACAACCTGGAGCAGCACAGCTTCCAGTTCATCAGGAGACCATTGCTCTTCCTGAGGGGAAGAGCTACATATGAACGTAACACTGTGTGTTGCATTCTCTCCCTACCTGAAATCAGGAAATAAAGGGGTGTCCAGTAAATCAGGCAAGACTGACTGCTGGATAATTCAGTCCAAGAAGCAAAATTCTGATATATACTCTGCCTGAAAGGCTATATAAGCTCCTTTGCCTCAGAATTCTGGGCCTGGAATAACTGATCTGTCACATCAAGTGTGTATCCTTAGTGATGGGCAAGCTCAGCCAGAACAGCACTGCATACACTAAGGCTTCAGTAAGATATCCCCTACACATTGCCCTTGCCAATAAAAGCCCTAAGCTGCCTTTTTATTTTATATTTAGCTGCCTATTACATAAATCTAAAGTTAAAAAAGAATCTTAATAGTACAGAAGTTGCTCCTTCTTCCTTCTCATGAACTGATACAGAGGCATATTAAATTTGGCAGGTCACACGAATCTACAGCTCCCCTGGATTTCACACTACATTCACAGACATATCACCATCCTACTAAAAAGTAGCTCCCTTCTCCAACATGTGGTATCAAAGAAAATATTGTAAAGTCAGTAATTGAAGGGTAAAAACCAAGGAAACCTTACCATTACTAAATTTACAGTTAGTGAAGGAATGAAGACTACCATCTGTGTGTGAAGACATGTACCAGGGAACCAACAGAAAGCATACTGGCCCACTGAAGTACACAATGCTAAAAGGTTCTGTCTACAAGCTGCAAATATGCATTTTGGGGGTTGCTTTCTATTTTGACCCTAAAAAATTCTATATCATCTTATTTCAACTGAGATAAATTTAAGCAAACCACTGCTATTTTAATGCACACAATGATACCCTTATAATTTGGGTTTTTAGGCACTCGTTGATTTTTTTAACTGGCACAGACAGTGCATCAGTTGCCAAGAAAAAGCTTCACCTTAAAGCTCTTTTTATGTTGTCCAAAGAGGAGTCGTCTTCAGGTCCATACTACAGAAGCCCACATATGTTACATTTTACTTCAATACAGGAAGCAGCACTACTGAAGATACCCATGGCAGTGAAATCCTGCTATACTGGATCCTGTCAACATCCTCTGACAACAGCCAGCTCTGCACAAAGCTGCCTAAAGACATGTTTTCTTCAAGCCACTTTTACAGTTTGCTGCCATAAGGCTATTTTTCTGCTGAGTCAGCAAACAAATGTAGGGAATTTTGCTCTCCTAGACTTCAGAATTACTGTCAGAGGAGCCAGAGTGAAATATCTAATGGGAAATACTTTTTTCCCTTCTTTGGAAGGAATATGGCCAGAGGAAAGAGAAGATACTCAACCCTGTCTGCCCACCTGCTGTGACCTTCAAACCATGGCGTAAGCAGCAATGGAGTATTCTGCATAAATACTTCCTGTTATACTATTTTCCCAATAAAATGGCACTCAAGAGCAGAAGCTTCTTCCTATCCCACCATGCTAGGGAGATGCAGATCAAAGATTCCTTTCCTTAGGAGAGGCAAGGAAAAAAAACCAAAAACAAAACACAGGAAAAAGCAGTGACAGCCTTAGTTTTCTAATATTTTTTCAGCTGCTTAGGAAGAATTTCTACAAACTCTTAAGATTTGATTTTAATTGGTCATGTACATGAGATCCAGAAGGAAAAGAAATAATCAGTGAATAAACCAGTGGGGCTTTACATTACCTAGTAACAAAAACCATTCCAATTCCTGATAAGCCAGCTATTCTAGGGGACCAATGAAAGGAACAGGTGATGCTCAATACCATTAACAGATACTATCATGAGTCACAGAAGTGGGCACTAAATAAGCTGAATCCATTTTAGTCAGTCTAACTCTAGTCTACAAAATTGAGGATTTACTATGGTATTGGATAATACTAATAGGAGTAGTTGCTTCTCTAAGATTCAGACACACCAAAAGACATCAGAAGTAGCTTTCACGTGAACTTTACCCCAGCCAGTCTCCAAGACCAAATTCCCAGCAGGCCAACAGGCTGCACTGCCTGTTAGTCTGCCAATCCATCAGCAATATACAAAAGTTAGATATATTAAATCTAACCTCTTATATTCTCAAATGACTGGTGTTGACTTTGTGATACCACAAGGGAAGAGGAAGTACAGAATGCTCTAATGAATCCAATTGCTTAACAAGGAACATAAGCAGATGAAAATATGTATACTTTGAACCACATCACCTTTCAAAACGAACTGTTTGTCAGAATTTGGCAACTGCTTTTTAGGTTTAGGACCCAGCTATTTAAAACAGTATATCCTTCCAAGAGCCCAGTATTTTAAGAGCCCAGATTAGCAAGGTCCTTGGATCTCAGGGTATTTGAAGAATCTTTGATAGAAGCTACGCCATGCAATCAAGCACAAAACGTATCACCATCCTACTAAAAAGCAGCTCCCTTCTCCAACATGTGGTATCAAAGAAAATATTGTAAAATCAGTACCTGAAACACGTTTTCTGAAGACATAAAAAATGCTACACTGACTGCTTTCAAAAACTCCTGTTCCTTGTATATAGAACTGAAGGCAGGGTGACAGTTCTTAGGCAAGCTTATAAACTAGGACGAGTTAGAGTTACTACAGCTCTCCTTCAAAGTCTTATTAGTTCCCAGGAATAACAGAATATTGTGAGTTTTTAAGTTTTTTATTATTTAATTATCCGAGCAATTTGAAAAAAGAGCACCTCAGTCAAAGGTCTCACGATAGCTGTTTTTAAGAAGTCACAGCTTCAGCTGTGTTTTGAAGAAGTCTGTGACTTGGATTGTTATTGAAATTTTAATTATTCCTCTCCCTTCCATGTCAAATTTACAAAGAGTTCTGAAGGTTCTATTTTAAACATTAATAACAAGTCTCATTGCTTAAGTATGTGCCAAAATAGTACAGCTTCCCCCAGTCCCAAGCAAACATCCGAACAAGAGCAGAAGGAAATGTCACATGTTCTGTTATCTTTATTGCAATACACAATCACTTCTTTTAACTCAGCTCATTTTCAAATGCTTTCGGGAACATTTGCAAGTGCTGCAAATCAAGTCAGCAGAAACAGGAAGGATTCACAATACATGTCAGCAGGTTTTGAACACAGTGGGCATTTTAAAGGCTACTCACTTTTCCCTGAAAAATTTATTAGTTATTTTGCTAAGAAAGAAATTATTAACAGCAGATTAACAATGAGTATTATTAAGAAATAATTACTACTTCCAAATTTCTGTGTATCACCTTCCTAGCATTTCAACACAGAAGTTTTGGTTTTCATTGCTCATACAGATCTTTCATACAGCCCTCTGAAAAGAACAAAATAAGGCAAGAAAGTACTGTAAGAGCCTTTGGTTTTCAGGCAGCAGCTTCCAGCTCTAGTTTGGAATATAAGTGGAATATAAGTGTAACAGCACCTGCTGTTGTACTCAAAGGCAGTGTGCTGCACTGTTACCGAGCCTGCTACCAGCCAGAGGGGCCAGGAAAGCAGCTCAATCCTTGGGATGTTCACCGGGGCAGATAAGGAAGTCTGACAAGTCCAATCTCACAAGCTTTCACATGGCTAATTGCTACCTTAAAATCTTAGCTTTTAAAACCACAGTAGTGGCTTTTGCAAAACAGAATGGACAACACTGTTTCTTTGCTTCCTTCCTACACTGACACTGACCTCTGTTCATGCAGTTGGCAGCAATCCAGGGATATACTGTATCACTCCTAGCTTAGAGGCTAAGAAAATGGAATTTGATTTTTATGAATGTAGCTACACTTTGAGACAAGATCTGTATTTCTGTAGGAGTGACAGTCCAAGCTCTCTCCCATCAAATGCTGAATATTTGTGCCAAACAACGCATACAAATCCATAAACAAGTATTTATTTACTATACTACTAGCACCAGAACAAAGATCAGCCTTACAACTCAGGTCATATGTAAAGCCTGATTTTACTTCCAAACAATGCAGTTTGCCATTGAAGACACTTTACTATTTTACTGTGTGACTGCCTTCACACGTGATCAGAAGACAGTGTGACTAAGCAGGTCCATCTTAAATACAAAGTCTGTACTTTCAGAGTCTGTCAAGAAAGCAATTTACTGAATTTACTGTTACACAGTTTCAGTTTAAAACAGATATTTAGAGCCTCATCTTAACTTCCTCCAAAGGGTTACTGTGTATTTTGGGAAAATAGAGAAGATTTGCTCAAATATTGAAAACCAAGTCAAGCAGAAGGGCAAAAAAGCAAAGAAAAAAAAAAGAAAAAGGCAAAAATTAACGACTGACACTGGGGCATTTCTGCACGAGCTGAAAAGAAGATACACAAGCATATCAGAAGGCTAGAAGCCACTCTTGTAACACTATTAAGCAATCAGAACAAAACTAAATTCTAATGCCAGAGCAGGAAAAAAAAAAGAACAAGTCTGAATCAAGCAGAGAACAGAGTTTCCTGTGACCGCAGAAACAGCTTAAAGATTTGTGGGCAGCTTCATTAAGACACAAATTCTGGTTTGAGAGATCAAAGTGATAAAACAATTTAATAAACCAGATATTTTTTCACTCCCAAAGCAGTTACTGCTCTGACACTGAGACTTCCAATTTGGTTCAAGCATGGGAGCAAAATCAGCTTACAGTCTGAATATGTAAAACAAAAGGAATAACATCTCTGCAGACTTTACTCCTACAGCTTCCCCTTTATCACACTGGTGTAGTTTCTCTCTACTACATTCTTCTTATCTCAGTTAATGCAGAAGCATTTAAAGCAACTGTCAAGGACACAGTGACCTCAGCAATGGAGCTTCCTCATGCTTAGACAAGAGACACGGTCACCTTAGTACAGAGATTCTAAATTCCTGCTGAGCTTTGGTGCACAAAAGCTGGATCAGAACCCAAGCCATAGCACACCTTCCATCGTTTCAAGGAAAGTACTGCTTGTCCAGAGATGTGAAACCTTATCCCAGCCTGTTAAACACAAGGGTATTTTAAACTCCAAGTTACCCAAACATAAGGCAGGTATCAGGCTTGACAGCTACTTGTACACCAGAACAAAAGCAGAAATACTGAGGCTCTGTCTGCAACAGTGTAAGAGCACACCTTAAAAGTTACATGGGATGGGGCCCAGATACTGCAACATGTGTGCTGAAGCACACACAGGCCCAGAGGCAGACCAGACTCCTACACCAGTGTCAAGCAAGTACTTCTGTCAAGAGGTCTTGTTTCTTGGACCTTTCCCTGATTACAGCCATGCAGCCAGTCCAAAAGCTGCATCTTTGGCCAGGCAGGGCCAGTAACTCAGGGCACCGGTATTCACCACAGTTATTTAGCAAGGGACTTCATCTTATGTTCACAATCACACATTTGTCTTAATCCAAACCATTTAAAAACATTTTAAGGTCAGAGCTACGTGAAAAGAAACTAGGCTAAACTGAGTAATCTCCACTTAAACCAAGAATAAAATGCATATGAAAGTCTCTTATTTTTTATATAGCCCTTCAGCAAGGAAGAACCACCCAGCATGAAGTCCATGTGGGGCTCCTGCAGCAGAAAGATAACACAGCTATCAGCTCCTCACACTCTCAAGGCCTCAAGCAGTTACACAAGTTGTCTAAACATAACTTTTTCCAAACTGTGGCATTTACGTTTTTGTTCAGGCTTCATCTAGTTGTTGTCTTCGGGTAATTAAAATTTTCCACCCAAAATCTATACAGATTTACTAACAAACCACAATGAAGATCAGCTACAAGAAGGTTTAGCCATCTTCCACTCAAGCTACTGAATAAGCATATGCTGACCTTTATTCAAAACTATTTAAATAGTGTTTAAAGGATGCTACACAAGGTATGCAAGCTAAAGTTACCACACTACTTCGCTGAAAGGACCTCTATTCTCTGATCATGGTTCTACATAGCCAGAGATTCCTATGATAATTTCTCCCCTGTTTCACAAGCCATGTACTTTTACCTATTTTTCTAAGAGAAAAATGTAAACACAGAGGTGTGTGACGGCTTCTAATTTCAAAGAATTTGAGTGTCTTGCACTGTGGTTAGCTTTCCCCTTCTGAGCTGTTGATAACACTGAGGTTTCTAAAGGTCTTCGTACACCTTTAAGAGACATACAACTTAAAATGTAACCACAGAACAGACAAAGTTCAGGAAAGCTATTTGTTAATGCATTGAGTATTCCTAACAGATATGCTAATCTAAGCCAGGAGAGCAAACTAAGGTAAAAGAATTTACTACAAATCCAGCAGATTTTGAAGGCACATATATGATCTCCACATTGCAGTGCCTTATCTAACTACACACACTGCCCCATAACTATTTAAACAGAACTTGCCACAGCCACTAGTGTTATAACTCCATTTAAAAACATCCCAACTGCCCCTTAGAATCTTTAAACTTTGAAACCACTTATACAACTTGAATACAGCTAACAGCATGAGTTTTACCTTGTGTTGTTTAAAAGTTAATTGCTGCCTCTTGGAATTAGTTACTGCATATCCTTTGTTTCATATGAATAATTTGTACTGCTGTTGCTTGTGGTCAAGATGTATAGCTTCAGCAACTACACATTTTAACACTAATTCTGCTAGAAGACAGCCTAACCCATTACTTCCACAAAGAGCTCAGGGCTGAAGAAGGGGGAAGGAAGAAAAGTTTTAACAGATGCTGTTTTACTAGAAATAATCACATCCACTCATGTTCCTTCAAACTATTCACAGCCTTCTGGAAGCAAGCAGGCTGAGTAGTCACGTGGTTAGAAAGCCAAGTATTAGAAAGTTGTGACCAGTAGCCCAATTCTTTGATAGAGGAGGGAGTTTGCTTCTGTTATGGCCAAGAGCACAGGACAGTCAGAAGGGTCTATAGTTAAGAGAACATTTCCAACAGTTATTCTAACAGACTGCTCTAGCATTTTGCTTGAGTCAGCAGTTGACAAAAGATGTCCAAGCATGTAAAAACAAAACCCCATAAAAGAATGTCATATGGAAATATACATATAGAACAGTATGATCAAGTCACTTACCTTTAAATTTTGACCGTATGTTTGCTAGTTCTTTATTTATCCTCTTTATCTCCGCCTCTTTACTTTTGCCTGAAATGAAAAGAACACATATCAGGACAGAGTGCTTTGGACATCCTGAAGCACCTTTAGATGCAAACAGAAACATACATTTGTGAGCATACAAACATCCAAAGGAGTTATTACTCTCCATTTCCATCACTGGAACTAAAGGCAAACAGAGGTAACTTAAGCATCACTTTATACAGGAATTCGAGAAGCTCTAAGGGCCTCCCTGTTTCAAGAAGCTTTCCAGACTTTGGACAGTGTCACTTGCATATAACCTGAGATGCCACTGCTACTGACTTTCACAAATGCTCCAGTTTTTCTGTTCCTGAAACCTCCCAGAGAAAAGTGAGTTTTACTTCCTATGTGATTACTAAGTCGATAGTGCTTTGAAGGAGTGAGTGTCCTAAGCACAATCTTATAAACAAGCAGCTCATGTTATTCCTCACCTTAAGGGCAAGCAAATTTATTGTTTCTCTGTTGACCAGTCATTCATTTCAACAGCTTTAAAAACATTCTTAACAGACTGAAGAGGAAACACAGTGAACTCACAAAGAGTCCAAAGACTCAAGACCTCACACAGTTAGGATACAAGTTCAGACTTCCAATGTGCCTCATGAAAGTAATTTGAAAACCAAAAATATTTAAAATTCACACTGTATTAGATGACTTGGCAATCTTATGCTTCTCAGCACCATCAGTGTTTCATATGAAACATTGATTTCAAAAATAGGTATTGGGATTTCTAGTACCAATTCAAATTACATAGAGAAACAGCTGCAGTTTAAATTCTGATAATGCAAACTTATTCAAGTAATATTTGCACTGCCCAAACCAAAACAGCTTATTACTCTTTAGCAATTTAGTTTTTGGTGACTGAGATTCTACAAACATTTGGGTCCATTATCTCCTACATGAGTAGGAGCACAGAAGGGTAAAATAGCCAGCTCAGGCATTGTGATGAGCTGCCTGTCATCTGAGGCAAGCAAGTGAAGTATATTCCAGCAATGCAGAACTGGCCATTTAGTTCTGTTGTTTGAATTAACACCTGTACCTACTCAATTTTCAACAAGTCTAAAACTATTGTCTATTTTCCAAAAGTTTCAAGCAGTTTCAAGTGTTCCAAACATCAACTAGCAGCAGGAAATGACAGCTTCTTTCCCTCTTTATCACATATATTTGCTACAAGGTAAAAGTCTCCTCACCCTGGTTCAAAATGGTCCAGCCGTGTAAGCTGTGGGGACCACACGCCGTGTGTTCACACCACTGGGATCACAGCTACAGCCATGAATGTGCAATAGGGGATGTGACAAGGCTTGAAGAGCAGATCAGGACCAGCATTCCAAAGCACCTCCAATCTCACCTCCTTCTTCAATAGAAACATCTCACAGTATTTAAACATCCCACTACATTTGCCTGTCCAAAAGCCTGTGTCACCCTATGACTGTTAATCCTCCCTTTATTATTCCTTTGGGGATCCTACAACAGGCCCTATAAAGGGAGACTAAGTAACTCAAGGAAAACAGTGCCTTGGGATAGTTTAACAGCAAAGGATAAGGGAATCCCTTGCCAAGTACAAATGAATCTAGATTTTGTAATTTCTTGACTTAGACTCAAAAAAAATAAACTGAAGTTTATTTTTCTGAAACCACCTCTTGCATAAGATGCAGAGAATGGGTTTGTATTAATCTGCCTCTAACAATGGCCATGAGAGAACAGACACAGGGCAGCCACAGCACACTGTACAAACGGAAATGTTAAGCCCAAAATAGAAGCAACTACTTCAGTTTGCCTTATCTTTTTAACAAAATACCTACAGACCCCACATATTAGCTTAAAATTGAATTTTTCCTTTCTGTAACAGTGTTTTATAAGGGGTGCTGCTCAAAAGACTTCAGTGCAGGGTGCCTTGGCAGGGACTCCACAGGGCAAGAAACAATCCACAATTTCAGAGCTCAATAATTTACAATACCTGTTCTGAAACATATTGTAGTTGCAATCTGTATGCACCTTGATTTTCAGATAAAGCAGAAGATAATGTCCACAGTTTTAATTTGACCTAGAAATTCCAGTTAACTTCTAGAATGACAAAGCTAGAGAACACAGTATAGTTCTCTCAGTTTATAAAGACATCTGTTGAAATCACAAAGTTTAACCAGTTTGCACTAATATATCATGCAACACAATGAGTTTTGTTCTAATTTAACTTGTCAACATAAAGAAAGCTGGTTTTAAAGTACAAACACTATTTATTGTGTAAATGAGCAGCAAGTCGTACAATCTAAGACCTGAAGTGTCTTCCTTTATAGATTTTAGATTTGTCTTAATTGGATTATTTGTCCTGTGCACACAGCAGAGATACTCAAGTGTTTGCTTCTGGGGCACTTGCCAGTATAAGGAGTTCATTACTAGACTGAAGCAAGTAGTTTGCTCAGGGGTCCACAGTAACATAGACCACAAGGGTACAAATAGGTGTTTAGGTAAATAAACAACATTCCAATTTTGTGAGCTATTTCTTTTTAAAGACTTGAAAACACTTCCCTTATTTTCAGTCATACATCTGCCTCGGAGGAAAAATTTCATCTCCTAAAGCTATTAATTTATCTTCCCTTTTACCATGGGAAGAGCACATCTCATTAAGACATAACCACAGTCTGGAGATTTTGTTCTTCATTTACATTAACAGGGCAGAATATAGACCTCAGTCTAGGACATTGCTAGCCTGAGTAGGATATTCAGTTTTTAAATTTAGAAACTAGGTCTTTGCTCTGTATCTTTAACCTACGTTTGTAAGGAAAGTGAATTGCAGTATTTACTTTAAATTATTAGCAATTGTTTCTCTAACCTCAGCAAGTGTGGTAATAATCACAATTTTAAAACGTTACAAATGGGGCGAGGAAAAGGCAACAGTAATACAAATCAGCCAACTTTTCTTATGCCAGGATGAAATCAAGGCCATCTTTTACTTTTTTAAAACCACCAAAATCTCCTGGCAAACCTTTGAAGCAGCACTATTTACCTGCTACACTCACAGATTACCAGTTACTACTAGAAATTGTGTTCTTTGTGTCCTAAGCAAGCAACAAAGCATTAAGCAAAGCCTGACTAAAATACTTGAGGAATTTGTGAAGTCAGCACCTTTGGTAGAAACAGTCTGCAGGCTCAGCAGCACAAACATGGAAATCCCACCCCCATGCACACAGCTGTAGCAGCGAAATGACAGGAACACCCAGAGTCACATCTAAAGGTTTGTTATCTCTAATTTTAAGTCTTGCTTAGCACATGAACAAAAGCCTTTTTCGAATAATTCCTTCAGGCTGTTCTATTTTGAAGGCAGTATATGTCTTCCAGACTGTGACCAAACATAAACAGCATAGCAATTAGCAGGTGATAAAAAATTTAACTCCATATATTGAAGATCACATTGAACAATTAATTTACACCTTATTACTAATTACAATCAATGCAAGCCTGCAAATGTAGTTTAAAGAACAGCACCAGCACATCAACTGTTAAATGTCACTGAAGGCAATCACACAATGCTGAGGACAACTCACAAGTTAAAACCAGGCTGAAGTATCTAACCCCAAATTTCCTCAACTCCAGCGGTTATATCGTATGGTAACTTTATTTAAACATGATTAACTGCTTATATTAGAGGATGACAAAGCGAAACAAAATCTCACGGTGGAAGGCAGCTTCCATTGTAAAGGACAAAATAAAAGAAGTATCATAAAAAAACATGGACCAATTTTCAGCTAGATCTTCTGTCCCACTAAGTGTGGAAGGGCACTGTTAAAATGTGTTTGATTAACTGAGAAGTTTTCATCACATTACTCTGACTTGCCAACACACGCTGAATAATTTCTATATGCATATTTTATTTTTACCATCACTACAACCACTCAAGTAGTCTTCAGGACAGTAAAAAGGAAGATGATGGTAGCTGAAGGAGTGTTATGCTGCAGGAATAGAGGCTCATGTTTCAGAGCTAACAAAGGCAATTGCTCTGCCACACTTTCAGGCTGTTACCCAGCTCCCAGTCTCATGAAATTAGCAGAGCTGTATATCAACAAAATGTTCTGTAACCACACCATTCAGCTTGGAGAGGCTTCAATAAAGGTCCTGTCACCTATCCAGATTGCTGGGTAGGACAGTAGTTAAGCCACAGTACAAGAAGATTATGTTCCATATGAGTTCAGGCCATATCCTTCTTACTTTCACTTATTCAGACTTTTACCATTTTAACAACTATCATTAAATATCTGTAATAAGTCATTAAAAAAGGTGATTACGAGTTTACCCATTTCATGAGTAAACTCTGGGTTGCTGTTTTGCTGCAAAGACACGTGGTGTTTGTAGCCTTACAGGCCTAGTGTACGAGTGCTGCTCATCTTCTCCAAGAGGAGCACTGAGTGCACAGGTACCCAGCCATAACACAGTCCACGGTGCTTATGGGTGATTACTTCATATCTGGCAGTTTGTCAGCCTTCAGACTCCAGCACGCTGCCTACTGCCTTCATTAAACAAGGTAAATTTAGTCTGCACAGCAGTATTATCTTTAATTACCATCTTGTTTAACAAAGATAGAGTAGGGAAGATCGTAAGTCACGCAGCTCATCAAAGAACCAACTACTATTCTTGTATTTCCCAGTAACCCAGGCTACAGTCAGCACTTCAGTACTGCAGAAATACACCTCCATTCCTGTTTGGAGCCCTGCATCACAAACTAAAGAATGAGAAGACAGAGGTTACAGGAAAGGGGTTTGTTGAGTCCATTCATTTGAAAAGAACATCTGACATATTTTAATAGTAACCTGGCAGCAGGGTTGCAAGGTTAAGTAAGTGCTTCAAGGTTAGAATTAGTGGGTTGCTTTGGCTCAGACAGTGACCTGCTCCATCAGGATTAACTTGTTGCTTTACTAACTGCAGACTGTTTAAGGCAAGTTTGAGGCACACAACCCATCTGTGCTAACTAGAACTGCTACTAGTTTTTAATCTTAACCTTCAAACAAACCACTTGATAT